CGTGTAGCTTTGCGCGAAATTCAAAACAAAACAAATCAATTTTAAATATCTGATTACACAACCAACTCATGGGCATAAAGTATTTTTAAACAATTGACAACTTGATTAGAATGTCTATTTTTGGCAAAAATGCCAACGCTACTTGCTGCTGCCTCTAATTTTGAACTGCCGTAAAGAGGGAAGGAAACGGGTTGGCATCATCCACCGCCAACTCTTGGAATACTCTTACCAACAAATTGTGGGATGACTGTTACATTATAACGCCCCCGAGGCTCAATTAAAGGGCGAGCATGGTCAGCGCCATTTTTCGATCCGCAGATTTTGCGAGTCGAATGCCCTAACTATCGCGCTATGCCAGGCCTCGTGCTGGAAGAATAAATCTATGTTATTTTTTTTTCATGTATTCGTATTTATAACACATTTCACATATCCTCTGTGTAAACTTAAGTTATTATTATTATTTGAAATGAGCTAACGATATGCTAAGCGAGTGCTGTAACCGATATTTGTATTTAAGTGACGTAGATTATTTTACAAATTATACAACAGTTGCCCAAATTCTACTTTAGTCAATCAGTTAGAAAGGTTCTCAATGTAAAATTCTAAGTTTAATAAGTATTTTCAAATTTTATACATCTATATATTGGCGTAAAAACTTAATCGTTAGTATGTAATAAAATAGAACAAACATATTTTAAAATTATTTTCTTTTATGCGTGGTTTAATAGTTTATTTTTCAGAAAGGAAATTACTGTATCATCATTATTATTTACATATGTAAAATATATTTACTACAAAGTCGAGTTTTAAGTTTCTTCCGTTTCATTGTAACGAACCAATTTTATCACGAATATTATTGTTACGACAGCGGAAGTCACGTGACGCTGGTAACACGTCATGAGTATCTAGAAGGATCGTGACTTTTCCTGGCAACTCTAGTCTTTTCCAGGCGCCCTCTATTTTAGTATATAAGCCCGGCAAATAATTGCAGATAGAGATATAGAGACAGATAATTGAGTCAAGCGAGCGTTGGTGACCGTAAGTAAAGTGCGTGAATCGTTGTGAATTATAGCGTGTGTTGAAGTGAAAGTGACTGTGGAAATTAAAGATATTGCAAAGTTGTATTGAGAAAGAATAAACTAGTTTTATTTAAGAAAGGACTTGTATCGCTAAAGTTTCATCCGAAAGAAATTAACAAACGACCAGAGACGTAACAATACAACGTAAAATGATTATCTTCTGATCTCTGTTTATCGTGACAGTGGGCTAACCGATTTCCCTCTTGGAAACAACGCGTAACGTTCCGCTGCATTGATTTTCACTTTCACAGCTAAAACTTATTACAGTCGGTATTAACTTTGTGAATGTTCGCAATTCCTCGGTCTTGATGCCGTAAGTAGTTCGACAAAAGAGAACATAAAGTAAGATGTCGGATTTACGTTCTATCGCTCTCTGCTAATATTACACACCGCATTTTGCTTGCATACATTTTCTTTATCATTATATTAGAGTTTTAACGTTACTATAGGTTTCCTGGCCCGGTGGTTAGGGCGCTCGACTCGCAATCTGCGGGTTCGAATTCCAGTACCAAACATGCTCGTGGGGGCGTTATAATGTGACGGTCAATCTCACTATTCGTTGGTAAAAGAGTAGCCCAAGAGTTGGTGGTGGGTGGTGATGACTAGTTACCTTCCCTTTAGTCTTACACTGCTAAATTAGGGACGGCTAGCGGAGATAGCCCTCGTGTAGCTTTGCGCGAAATTCAAAAACAACCAAACAAACTATAGGTTTCCTATAAATATTAGACTGTTTTGCGCGTATCTTTATTTATATTATTAACACTGAAAACTGGACACAAGGTGTGTTAGGACTTGTGATGTTACAAAGCACACAGGATCAACAGAAGGAACTTAGCTTGCAAAAAATAACTGGAGCGCTTTCGCAAAGTGTCAGGAGTAAATGGAAAATCCACTAGATATTGCTATTTATTACTGAAGATTGAAATTCCACTTTCCAAAAGCGTTTCGGGTTATTTGGGTTTCTTTCCTGGTTTATTAAGTAAGGCTGCCACAGTTATATGTTTAACTAATGATAAAGTCCAAGACTATCTTAATTTCATGACATGAGCACGTGAGCCTTGTACTTTTTGTGCAATATTTCAAAGACGTTTAATCAGAACTAACCCTCAGAACTTGTTAATACTGAAATTTAGGTTTCCATTCTCACGGCGGACACAGAGCAGATAACCCGTTGTGTGACATTGCGCTAAAACAAATAAATCCGAGATGTCTGACGGAATTCGATCGCTAAATCTAATTGTTCTGTCAATCGAATACAGAATGCCTCTTCATTTGAAGACAGATCCTCTCGTTAATCAAAGACAGACCATCTCATCGGTCGATGACAGGTCACCCCATCAACCAAGGTCGCTCTAAATTAGGTTTACCATAACGAGGACTTTTTTCTGTCGTATTGGTATCTAGCTATTATTGATTTTAGCGCCAATTTTTTAGTTTGTTACTTTGCTGTGGGAATGTTCTATAGCAGTTTTAAAGGTCGTAAAGACACTATATAAATGCCGTAAACATTTTCTCAGTAAATACCGTGTTAGTTTGTTCGTCGTTTTAAAGGATGTCTAAAAGACCACAAAATTGTGTATGTTGATAAACGTAACAGGTTATATATTAAAAAAAACCTCTATTTACTGCAGTGTAACATCTTCCATATACGACATTTACCTTGAAACTACTTTTGATAATGTGGGCGAAAGTGGTTCTAACATACAGTATCTTAGGTTGAACCGAGTGCTTGATACCATGGTTCGCGACCCGTTGCCACAAAATCGCGCTTTAACAGTGACGCTCAAATCACACAATCGAGCAGATAGAGAGATATCTGTGGTTTCTATTGACTAACTGCCTTCCCTTTAATTGTGTAAATTAAAAATTAGGAACGTCTGTACGCAGAAAGTTTGAAACAAACAAACAAAATACATACTCCGTTCAGCACTACACCAATTAATTTGTCAAGTAACAGTTTTAACCCTTCAACTGCGGTTTACATCATATGGTGCATTTTGTGTGCGAATCTTTGCCACATACGAAGTGATAAAGTACAACTGGCCCTCTGTATAAGTGATTTACATATATGATAATGCAGTGGCCTGTCTTGTCATGGGTGACCTTCTTCTAGAAAAATTAAATATTGGGTCGGAGGGTTCTGTCTTGTAACCATAACATTAATTTTATGGATGAAAAGTATGGATTTTTCCCTTCCTCAGTATGTTTTTTTTTCTTTCTTTTGCTCTACTTCATTTAACAGTCTCTGTAAGAATATTTCTCTTTGGGAATTTTTTTTTATTTTTCCAGTCCAATCACAATTCATAACTCTTAGAACCGTTAGCCTCAAGCCACATCCTGAAATAACCATCTACTTTCATGAGCAAGGTGGTCCAAAAAACTGGACTCCTAGTAATCCCAAGTGATCAAGTAAAACCCGATGCATCTCCATTTTCCCTTTGGTCAGTTTGAATGTAGTCTCCGATTGTCCTTAACAAAAGCTTGTTACAATGAAAATTGCAGTACTGGACATAGTGCACAATTAATGTCCGATTGAGCGTGATGGATTAAATAATTCCAAAGGCAACATGAGACCCACAACATTACATCTTCAGCCATTTCCAAGAGTACGTCCAAATAGTAATTTTTAAGCTATTTGAATTATCCACATAGAAACTTGAAAAATCACATTTTAATACATAAAAAAAGCAACTAAAATCCAGCACTTAATCTTTCAGTTATAAACAATCTTTTCTTTTTTTTCCCCCTAAAATGCCACATTCTTTAAATGTTTGAGAACTGTTAAAATAATATAAAAATTTCATCAGGCAATAGAAGTAATGGATCAGTAAAAATATGTCGTGTAATTTTGCAAATTCATCATGTTTTTTTCTTTATTTCTTCTTCCACTTTGGATAGTCGATGGAAAATAAAGAATATATTATATTAAGTTGCTGTAACCTGGTCCTGTCACTTGATAAATATTGTGTTACGTTAGTGAAATAAATTTTTTTAAGTCTAACAAAGAGCCCACACGAGCCCATCAAATCACTGTAATAATGAAAACAAATATCCAAATCATACTTAATGCTTCACTCAAATAATTGAAAACCTAATTCCTGATAAAATCTTTATTCATTTGCAATAATAAAAAAAAAACACGGCTGAATGTAAAAACTGCTCTTTTGCAGAAAAAAAGCACAAAAAACATTTCCAATAATACATCTGTACTTCAAGAAATGAAACCACTCTGACACAACACCATAAAAGAGAGGATATAGTTTCTAACACAAGCTTTTATCTGTTAATACAGAACAATCAGATAGAGGGTTTACTTTCTCATGGGTTGGAGGAATTAAAAATCAGACACTGGATTGATTGAAGTAATTTAAAGAAAACTCCCCTGTTTGTTTTTACTGAAACAATGAAATCAAGATGAGAATGATTCCAAACTGTATATGAAAAAGGTGGGTATTGGTCAACTAGGAAAAAGGTTAAAAAATAAATTGGAATAACACATTTTATTCCACACAGTCAATATAATATTAAGGTGTATGTGTATACAATAACCACTCTTAAGATGTAGCAACCAGTTTATTTTAATTGAATAACAATAAAAAAAAAAAACTATACATTTTCAGATCACTTCTCACACACCGCTTCTGTACTTACACTGTGTGTAGTACAAAGTTATATTTTAACACTTGGATGGCTGTGATGCTCCGTTAGCTCTTATTAAACTACACAAAAGTTAGCTGTTGTATTTTTAATTTAAATGCCATAGTCATAACTATTAAAATATAAAAACAAACATACAAAGCTTTATGCTAGTTGACATCATACCTACCCATCTGACAGATAAGATTAACAGATGTAGCTTTCTTGAGAACAACCAACGGCCATTCAAACTAGTTTACATTTAACACAATAAGCTATATACCCTGTTACTTTTGAGATCATGTCTTTATAAAGAACAGCATGTTGGGCTCAAGCTTTGTTAAACTGACACTGATCTTTGTGAGCCAAAGATTTAAGACCTTTTGACAACAATTTTCAAATATTTCATGCTACTTTTTATTGATGGAACCATGAAACCTTCAAAAAGTATAAAATAATTACACATAAAAACGATTCTTAAGTAAAGTCAAAAAAGTGACTGTACTATTACAGTATGCAAATACATTTTTCAGCTACAAGAATGGTTGAAACGTGTACTTAATAATTAAAAGTTACACAAAAGGAAGCACATAAGCTTAGTCAACGACAAGTTCACTGAGACGTACATAACGATGATTAATTAATATAACCAACACGTATAGTACAACTTGTGTATTACCTCTACTTTCATAAGCCTAATTGTTTTGTGGCTGTTATTTCACAATTTAATTACAAACATTATTCTCTACTTCTATAAATATCCTTTACAATAAGGACAGATTTTCAATTACACTGCGTTTATCACTACTTGTTCAGAATTACGTACTCTAGTATCAACACATCGAAAAGGCAAAGACTTGAATCGTTTTTACATTATTACTCAGTAACACCGAGTTTATGATAGAAGCAAGAACTGTGTGTGTGTGTGTGTTAACTAATGGCTTAATTTTCAGTTCTCGTCTTTACTAGGTGGCTATACCACTTATATTTATTAGCCGTTTCTTACATTTGTTTCGAGGCTCCTGTGCATTATTAACTAAACAATTTAACTTGTTATAACCAACAAATATGTTCTATGGCGTTTACCCTACACGGTTATCTGTAAACGATAGTATTACTTCAGTTACACTTGAACTTATCTTAAAAGTTTAACACTGAAGTTGCAACTCACCCCATTGTTAAGACATTGTGCTGTTGGTTTCTTTGTAACACTTTGGAATCTCTTAACAAAATTTCTCCCCTCTTCCTACCACTAATAAATGTACAGTAAACGAAAGTTGTTAGTGGCATGCATAAAATCATTTATATACACTTTCATCCAGATTTATTTCGTTTGATTTACAAAAATCTTATTTTTTTTTTTACAAGTGTACCTCACGGCAATTTAGTCTAGTCAGGCTGTTTCAACTTTCTTCTCCACAGCACTGAACTTCTCTGCTTTTACCCTGAAGTTGTCCAGGACGGACCAAGACGTTTCGGATATCGCGCTGGTTCTTGATGAAACACAAGGGTAATTTCAAACATCATGTACTGAAGTTGTTTGCTGAAAATGGCAGGTGGTTAACTTAAAAAAATTCAAAGATAAATAAATGAGAAACATGAATTTGCTGCTTAGTAAGTGTTCTAGAGGTTAAACTACACAAAATATTCTTGGTTACTTTTACAGATATGTAGAAGACAGTAGTTTTTCCCACCGAGCTCACGCTGTATAGGATCTCAATCACCTAGTCTTGTTTGCTGTTGTAAAGTTACTTCACGATAGCAGTTCTCTAAATGATGTCACAAAAACACCTGTATCCCTGGAAAGTCAAATTGTTTCACTCAAGTTGATGCCGCACGGGTAATTTCTGAGTTTCACTCATTGTATGGAAACGAATACTTTCCGACCTTCAAAAAAATGGTATATTCTTAAACTCATCTCCTGTGTACACTATATTTCTATTCCTGAGCAAACCCTTCTGTTTCTTCAATAGCAAAAGTCAGTTTTTCCACCAGTTGTTCGTAAGTCTTGTAAGGAGGTAAGTCCAGTCTGTTGAAACATGTGTGACTGCGTGGAAGCCAAGTCTCTTTCCCAACTTTTTCCACACAAAACCTCTGAGGTCCACTACTCCCTACAGAGAAAACAACCTTTAAACAGACTTGAATAAACAGAGTTGTTTAACAACAAGTAAAAGCTTGGAATGGTTTATTCTTTCATTGGGGGGGGGAGTGTGCCTGTGAGCCAGACTAGTTTCAATACGAAGAATTAAATTGTGGCGGAATGCTACAAGTTCTTCAAATACCTATAGAATGATAGGTTTCTTTTTTGT